TTTTGAAAGGTGATTTATACTTCTTTTTTATCTGAAAATTGCACTTTTTCTAACCTCAACATTAAAATGCTTTGGGAAAAAACTAACTTGTAATTTTTGTTACTTTAAGAGATAGTTCAGTAAACAGTTGTTGCCCAATCTTAGTGAATCTTTATCTGGACAATGCATCTTATCACTGTGGACTTGTTGAGCCAATACTAGTCAAAGTTGAGTCAAGCAGTCCCTCCTCGAGTGGCTGCAAAAAAGGAATATTCCATTGGAACATAGCATTGGAAAATGACCATCGCGTTTTGCGGCTTCAGCCTTATCATAGCAATTTTATTGCGATAGCGATGGTTTGGTCAGAGTGTAAACGGCATTATGATGTCAAAATATAAGTTCCGTCAATCCTGTAACATCTGATGCTGTAGTGCGTTTATGGACTTGTTCAAATAAATTAATATATTACTTCTCTGATGCTCTGATGGAGTATTCATAACATTTTGTTTCGGGTTTCACCCAAAAAATTGAAAAGGCCGCCTGATAAATGAGGCTTGGGAAAGGAAAAAATTCATCGATGCATCTAATATTCTCTCGCATATTATCTATATGCATGATTCAGACTCCGAGGAAGATATTTTTTCCGATGGTGACTAGATTTTGTTCCCTTTCTTTGCTCTATGCGTTATGGGTTTTCGATGTTTTTGTTGTCGAAACGAACCTATCTAATTGATATTTGTTTTCTCCCATATATTTGATGCATTTTATATTGTTCGTTCATCTCAATACGCTATTGAACCAAGTTCCCATAAACTTCTTATAACAAAATAATAATATGTACCTAAAAACATGGCATTTTTTGCGAATAACCGTTTTATGGCCGTGTTTGCAGTAGGTTATGCCATCTATAACACGATGACCAACTTCCACGTTGCAAAAACCCTTACAAAATAGAATTTTAATTTAGTTTTTAGCATTGCATATGCTACTTTGAATTAATGAATTAATTAAAATCGTAACACGTCTAAAAATGGAACCAAAATAGCTGACATACGGATCATTTTAGATTACGTCACTGCACTGCACAACTGCTCTGGCTAGAGTTTAAGACCACCAAATTTAACAGTTCAATAACGATTTACAACTCTCTCGCATTAAGAAACAGAACATCATATGACTGGAAAAACAAACAGTTTATTAGAAAAACATCGAATCGAAATGCTTCGGCTGGGTCGGATTGGATTTACTTCTAATGGCCACGACCACAATAGGTCATTCGACCAGCTTACGACAATTGTAAACTTAATTAAAAAATCCTAAAGGATGCCTTCCTAAGAAGAGGGTCTGGACCAATCCATCATCCTCCAGGTTAATTAACATATATAAAATGGAATTTCGACAAAAACAAGGTTCTTTGACCGATAGCAAAAAACCGCCTCCCCCGCTTCTCCGGGGCCCATCCGGCCTCTAACCGGCGTGAACAGGAAAAAACAGCAGGGCCGACAACAATCATAACTTTAAAACATTCACTAAACACTATAAACACTTAATCCACACAGTGGAAATCGATTTTAAAGTTTTTGGGGACAATTACAACGGATTATGTCGGCAGCGAAAGGAGGTTAAACCGCCATGTGCAATGCTCACGACAGAATCCTTCGACACTACTAGTGACAGCTAAAGCGGAAAATTTCCGATTTTTTCGGTTAATATGAATTTTTCTTTTAAGTACGTACTAAAACATTGTAAAAATACTTTCCATGACGTCCAAATAATTCTCACTAATTTGGATCGTACTACGCAATTTCGTATGCGCGAAATCGATAGCTTAAAGTGTTTACGATGACATTGAAGATATTGATTACGATCTCGACTAAATCGACCGATATTTCCGAGGTGCGGTTAGCGCAATCTCCGACGCCCTGTATAGTGCACGGTGTTCCGTCTACATTCGCAGCCGTTTCAGGTACCAAAAACCCTCTCCGTCCAAACCCACCTGTCCGGGATTAATCCCTTCGTTCGAAATAAAATGTTTCTCGGAGTTTGGTTTCGTTTTGAGTGGGTACGTCACATTCGCGGTACTTGTTTCGCTTATCTGGAAGGACAAGATCGTTCTCATCGAGATTTTTTTTCACGTCACGATTATATTGGTTCCGTACAAATTTTCTGTATCGACTCGCTTTCCTTCGTTTAAAGAGTTGTAGAAATAGTTTTTTCCGCCATTGAACGTTAAGAAGAGCGAAACTTCTTGGTTCCATGACGTGGATGATTTTATTAACAGTTAATAGTATATTATAAACGAATGAATCGCTCCGCTCGTGCCAAATAGACTCGTGACTTAAAAGGTTTTAAAAAATTGTTGCGTACTATAGTTTTTCTACGACCGTGTTTTTAAGTATATTCTTTGCAAAACAACACGAATACATTCACAAAGTGCCTGGTGGTTCTTAATTTGTAAAAATTGCACCCGAAACAAGGATTCGGGGGGTTTTCTAATGTTTGCCGGTGGCAATAAATCAAAAACTATTTCGTTAACATACAAAATTAAAAAAAAATACTTTATAATGCAACAAATGCAGTAAGTTTATTTGGCACGAGCGGAGCACAGCGGAGCGGGTGTTTATTAAACGAGTGACTTAAAAAGTTTACCAAACGTATTGCATTCTATACTTTTTCTACGACCGTTAGTTTTTGGGTACATTTGACATGACTGTCAGAATTGACAAACGTCAAAATTCAAGCCGTGCGGTAAAAGCTCCGAAAACATCCGATTCGTCTCAAACCCGTGGGGTAATATCCCGGAAGTGTCCGAAGTGGCTCGGATTCATGGGAAAAGAAATTCACGTGGTAAAGTGATGCTCTTGGCATTCTAGATTGGGATATATAAACTGTTTTGGTGTATTAAGGAGCCTTCACGATTACTATAGAGTAAAGTAGTAAAATTCTTGGGCACGTACTTAGATTTGAACAATAACATTTAACAAAAGTATCTTTTCCTGTAGAGACTAAAAATTCTCACTCTGAATCCATTATATGTTTTGCATTGTGCTGTTTATATAACAAAAATTTTTTAGAACTTTTCAACTTCTGAAAAAGTTTATATATTACAAGATCACCTAATAAACTCGATTCGTACCGTGAGAAGCAGCCTATTATAATTTTTAATCACATGCTAGACTCTATTAGACTTATTACCAAGGCAAGAGCAAATTTAAAAACTCAAAAAAAGATTGAGTACAACAATATACTCCAAGAGAACGGGCGAATGATTCCTGAGGGAGTGTATAAGCGACATGAGTGAAGGAAATTTTATATTTTGTTTTATTATGTATTGTATCGGTTTGTCTGTTGGAACCTTTTCTATGGATGCCAAAATTGTTGTGAATTTGATTAAATAAATAAATATATTTTTTTATTTACAATTGTCCTTGAAATAGTGAGCCGCCCTGTAACGCTACCCGAGAAAAATTGCTAAGTTGCATAATTATAGAGAACATCTTCGACTACGGAAATTGTGCGTTTTACTTTTGCGTAAAGCAAGTACCTCGAAACGACCGACCGGGTGCTTTAAACGAAAACGTTCGAAATAGACGATTTCGCATAGCGCACATTCCGGCGATTCCGTAGGAATTTGAGATCGCCGTCGGCAACACGTTTTAATTGTTCCGAAAGTGCCGTGTATAGTGCCTTCGCAGTTAAATAGTTTTGACACAATGGCTGTTATAAAAAGGAGTTTATAATTCTTAACTTATGCGTTTTTTGTTTATGTTTGCTTATGTTTTTTTGTGCGTTGGGAAAAGGTAGCGTCATTGTAATGGACAATGCAAGTTATCACAGTAGACAGTTGACTAAAACCCCTTCCTCATGTGACACAAAAGCAACAATCCAAAACTACATGTATAATAACGACATTTATTTTCACGAAGAAAATACCAAAAAGCAATTAATTGAGGTTCTACAAAGCTTGAACCTACAAAAGTAATACGCCTGTGATAATTATACAAAAAATGTCCTCAAACTTATAGAAACCGAAGTTTTTAACATCCCTCCACAAAGTTGGGCAAATTCTGTTAAACATATAGAAAAAGCAGAACAATCGTATATCCATATTGCAAATAATATAGAACAAATAATAATTAGAACAGGCGATGATAGCGATAGTGATATTGATATATTATGTGAATAATTTTAAGTAATTTAAGTAGGTAATAAAAATAATTTGTAATTTTATTTTAGATTTAAATATAAATACATACATAAATAAATAAATATTGTTTAGTATCTTTCCTAACAAAACTCCAAATAATTAAATTCTAAGCAAAGTACGGACCTGTTCGGCCATATTTCATTCTTACGGCTTGCCCGGGTCTTTCCCGGTATCAGTTAGTCACTTTCTTATATCTATGAACAGACTTTACCACCTCAAAAAATTAGAAAAAATACTGAATTAAATCGCATATTAAATGGGTTTATAAGAAGTAAGAATAAAGACAATGGTTCTGAAATGAATGATGAATATGGGAAGCTGATAATATGCTAGAAAACTCTGTAGAACACGCTCTCGAAATCGACTATAGTTTAGCTGACTATTCGGAACATGATAAGTAAATTTTCCAACGAACTTTATTTATCTACTTTCATATTATTTTTTCTCCTATATACGTTACTATTTACTTGATCTTAGAATAATTAATATATATTAATATATATAATGAATGAAAATTAGTGTGGCCGTAATTTAGGAAAGACTCAGAGTGTGTAAGTTTCAGAAACTGAAATACGGAAGTGCTTTTTTTCAGAAAGGTTATAAAAAAATGAGTTTTTAGAAATTTTAAATGCAATTTAACGTATTGCTGTTTCAATTCTACACGCAGCACCAACTAAAATTAAGGTATTATTTCACCAACTTCTTCTCCCACTTAATACCCAATAAACCAGAACTATTAATTGACCGTTGTTGCAATTATCGTGATAAAGTCGAAACGTTTTGCTAATTATCCGTTCCTCGATGGCAAACTCACCACAGAACCCAAACTTCTTCACCTATCGCAATTAATTATTTAATGTCGAACCTTGTATGCCACAATGTCACAAATGAGCACAAAGTAAACCCGATCAAAGCCGATATTCGCGAACCAATTTGAATTTCGTTCGTTACACCAATTAAAATAATCGCCTTAATCGCGCCAATTTAAATCGCAATAAAAGCAATAAACAACAATGTAGAGAGAATTGGAAGTAGTAAAACAACAAAGTAATACCCCCAGACAACAAAGGAGGTATATTGTAAAACAAACAAGTTCGGCAAAACGTATAAAAGAATAAAACCGGGTTTACGTACTTGCGTCAGTTTTCCGTTGGTCGGGAAGCGTAGTTGCACGATCCTTTCGACGAAGCGCCCGATATTCTAGAGAATCGTCGCGACCCGTTCTGGTTCCATGGCACACGACTTCGCTCCGCAGCCAACTTCGCGCGAATGGGCTTCACTCCAGATGCTCAGCTGTTTTTCCTGGCACGCCTGATTGTTGTCGATACGATCGATACGTAGCTCGCCGACGTAGCGGCTACGTCGTCAGGTGACGCCGTTGTAACGTCGCGCGTATACCGGTTGTCCGCGTTTTTCCCTCCGACGCGGCGAATTTGAAATGGCGAGGAGAGACAAGGAAATTAGAAGAACGTTTTAATATTAATAATAAATAAATAAATCACTTCGTATTTATTTATGCTCAACTACTTTTAGCAGATTAATTATAGAAAAATGTAAGAGAAATAATGATAAGAACAACTAACAAAGCCAGACGCGTAGATCAATTTGAGTGAAATGTAACACAAATTCAGTTCATATAAATTTCTTAAAAGATCGTAAATTAGTATTAAGTAATTCAATACTACTATCACCTTTGACAATATTATTATATAATCTCATGCAACGTAGCAGGAGAGTTAGAAATATCATTAATTAGCTGTGAAAACCTGATACTGAATACAAGTCTGCCCCGAAAGATATAAATATGATATATTATCTATATACAAGGAAAATAGGAACATATTGCCTTGTGGAATTCAGTGATCAAGCGATAATATATGTAAATTCTCATTATAAGAGTGAAAGCGTCTTTGTCTAGTGCAACGAAAATAACTTTTATTTGAACACTAACGATTCGATCCTCACAATTGTGGTACATTTAAGCTGTTGAGGACTATTTACAAAACTTCTGCATTCCTCCTGCGTCGGTTCTTGATGAATCGAACTTGCTGACGTTTCGCTAATCATCCCGTTGGTTTCTTCAAAGCTTGAATTAAATTGGCTCGCATTCTACTCTGTACTTGGTTGTATACTGTTAAAGTCGGGTGAGCTAAAGGAGAGACATGTACATTGTCTCGTATGCCTGATATTTGCAAAAGTTAAAGACCTAAGGCGCGGTTAAAACCTTCTTTGACAAGTGGACCTTTCTCTTGCCATCAAGGGAGGAGTGGAGTGAGGGCAGAGTTGGCTCCTGGGATGGGCTTATCTGGTACACAGAAGGGTGCAGAATGGGAGATTTGGCCAAAGCTGGAGCGTACTTCGAGACAACGGGATCGAGGTTGTCGGTCCCTCTGGGTCAGTACTGCACCGTGTTTCAGGCGGAAATTTTCGCTATATTGATGGCGGCCAGCGAGGTGCGTCGGCTCAACTACGGTAGCAGGAGAGTATTCTTCTGTTCTGACAGTATGGCTGCATTTATGGTGCTAAAGTCAGTGCGCCCCCGCTCCTTGTTGATAAACGGGTGCAATGGGTGCTGAGGAAAGTGGCCGAGGTGAGGAATGTCATGTTGGTCTGGGTCCCGGGTCAGGTGCATGGGAGGGGAGGAGACCCCGTATCATCTGCTCACGAGTGCCCTGCGCCCTGCATTGACACGGGCAAAATTTGGAGTCTTCGGAACGGCCCTGATCGATCCGGACTCAATGTACGGTATTGGGCTAAAGGAGGGACGGCATTCGGGATGCCCTCTAGCGCGGTCTGGGGGTACAACGGGCCCATCTGGTGATCTAAGTGCTATTTCTATAAATTTTCGGATTTTTCGTAGTCTTAAGGCTCTTTCGCGTTCCTTGAGTCTAATAGATATTTCGCTGTAAACTCCTGGTTGACAGAATTTTTGATTTATGGTCAGTTATGATTTGAATATAAGGAAGGACAACAGTGGCAAGTGTGGGGTTGCAGGAGGAATCCAGATGTTTTGTAAATTTCTTTGAAAAATTAACAAGCCATTATGGAGAGGACATCATGCGCCAAAGCAGAAATTTAGAAAATCGCGGACTGAAACTGGCTGGATTACTGTATATACTGACTCTTTTTTACGTTTTGAAGACCATGACGTCATAATTTTCTAAAAATCACGTGAAAATCTCATCCGCTCTAATATTTCAAAGCCAGAACGCATTCCTCTAAAATCTAATCCACACATTGTAATTCTAGAAGCAGATGAGGAAAATGTTACGGCGGTCATGAACACAAATAAATATCAGGAAAAGGTTAGACGAATTCTATCGTCAACTTAAAAGAGATCCTACATCATCCATGGAACGCAAACTTAAATCTGTTATTAAGGATTTTTTTCTATTAGAATCTGTGAAAAAGTCTGTCACTTTTCATGACTCTAAAATTCCTCGTCTCTACAGAATCCCTAAGATTTACAAAGCAGGATTACCCCTTAGCTCTATTGTCAGTACCTTTAACCTATTATCACCAATAATCGCGAATATATTTATGGAGGAAGCCTTTGAGAATAAGTCACATCTAATCAAACCAGTCTCATTCCGGTAACAACAACACACATGATTCTATGTTGCAGATAGTTTGTTAAAAGATCCTCCATTTCAGACTCAAATTTCCAAGTTTAAGCATATCAAAGGTTTTGGAAAAGGTTATATGAGCCACGCAGTGATCCCGACCATTCTTCATTGATTCATAAGTTCTCTGAGCGAAAGGGACAACCGGAATTGATCTTGTAGAAACTATGTTGGTTGCTATCAATGAGTTTAGAAAGCTTACAATTTATAAAAGAACATATGTCCAATAATTTAGCCCACATAATATATTTCTGTTTTGAACAGCAATTTTTTCTTGATATTCTAAAAGTCGCATCAGTTACATGCACAAGAGCGGCTTTTTGGGATCCAAGTGTGGATTTCTCTTGGAGCAGATAATAATTTCTTTTGATATCCAAAAAGGTTGTTTTAAGAAATATTGAAGAAACAAATATTCAAACATGAAAGTTTTTGAACCATACCAGCATCAATTAATGGGTACTTACTATAAGCAGAGCGCATGGCATGACGAAAATTGTTATGATGTTGATTGTTGGTTTAACCAAAGGATTTAAAATTTAATTTTTTGTTATTAACTATTCTTCTTACTCTGTGCATGCGTATTAATAAAATATGTTATCATTGTTCAACGTATATAAAAAATTACATTGAACGTCCAGAGAGTTTTCAGGACTAGGTGGGATAATGTATAGACTAATTTAACATATCGAATGGTTGTTGTGTGTTATTTGCGAAAGAACAAACAATGTGGCTTTCGCTAGAAAAGACCGACTTTTGAGATTATCCTCATATCCCCACGATCTTTAGATAAAAACCAACCATTTCTCTGCATATTTGTTGATCTCTCGAAAGCTTTCGAGTTAACAATCAAGTGTTTTTAAAAACTGTGTCTGATGTGTTATGTATAATCTGAAACAGTTACTGTAAATGGTACATCAAGCGAATATCAAAAAGCTGACTGTAAAATAATCAGTTACGCAATAATTTATACTTCTGTTCCTTTGTTAACCTTAAAGATACAGGTTGAAGGAGATCTTGAAAAAATAATTAATTGATTTGAACAAAAAAACCTCTCGAAACTACATAAATATGAAGCTGAGTCCATCAAGTATCTAGGTATATCTGTCTGGTATCTATATCCCTATTTAAAATGGAATCTTCACACTAATGCTGCAACTAAAACGATTTAAACAATATCGTTAAAACAAAATACGTATTTTATTTATTGTTGTTTTCTTTTCTTTTGCTGTGTGTTGTTGTAAATGCTTTATAACGCGGTTGATGATTTTTTGTGGTCTGTGGTATGTTTTAACTTGACCGGTTCTTGATCTATGTATCTAACTAACCAGAAAAACATCATTATTATATATGTGCCTTTTTAGTTTGCATCACTTATAATAGTTAATTATAATAACTTTTTAGTAAAAGTCGATTCTATTCTACCTATGCTACTTACGGTCGAAATAAATTTGAAAAAACAAAACTCTTCTTCTAGTACATCACTCTGTCATCAGAGAGCGCTTATCCCAATTCTTATTTTTTAATCAAGTGACTTGACTTTTCGCCAACTTAAAGTAAAATAGTTTCAATTCGTACTACATATTGTATTGTCTTTTGAGAAAAAATGAACGGAAAGTCCGAAACGCTAACTGTATCGTTGCTGATTGCTGTATAGTTCAGTAAAATGAGAATTTTTGTGATCCTATAAGATTTTTTTTTTATAATTGGGATTTCGTTTTGAATTCAATTTAAGTTTCATTATGTGTATGAATCAGCACTGTGTGCCAAATAAAACGATCCACTATACGATCTGGAAACCCATAGAAGATACGAACAAATCAAATCAAATGGTGTTGTGACGCTACTGATGCAGGTATTGCAACGAAAATTTCACCACAGACTATGGAGATGATGCACTACTCAATCAGTTTGACAGATGCGCCTCAGCTTATGCAGGGTGTCAGGGTGCCCCAAATAGGTGGTGCCGTTTTGACTAATTCAATTAACAAAATCTCAAGATTTTAAAACTTTATATTTTTATCCAGATATCAATTCTAGGACAAAAAATAAGGTAAGTTTGTAATTTATCTTATATTTAAATTTTACCTACTTGTTGGCAATATTAGGTATTTTTTAAATAGCAGACACATGATACCATTTCCTTTAAAGATATAATACTCTAGATATACGAATAAAACTTATTGCTAACAATACAAAGTGTCTATTAATACTTAGAATTATGGAAAAAAATCCACTTTATATCACACTCTTTAACAGATTTAATAAAACTTTAAAATCTAGCTTGAATGAAAATACCTAATAACAAAAATAAATAATTAAAGTTTGTAGGTTAACCAAAAAACTATAACTTATTTAAAATACAAATAA